TTGTCATTGTAAAGAAAGGGCTTTAGATAACAAAACCACCCCATAAGTTTGGAGCAGCTGTTTAGTGAATGCTTTTTCTGTAGCATCTTGGCTTGGCATTTGGACACGCGGGGGAGCAGGGGAAATGGCTATATTGTGGTATGTGGTTTTGTAGTGATATTCTGGCTTCAGGGATATGAACTGTGATAAAGAGCAAAGCAACTTCTGTTTTGGCAAGAGGCACAGGAAAAGAGATGACAAGCCGAAGGCATGAATTTGATAAATTTACCTTAAATGTGCAGCCATTTTAAGAAAGTTTTGTACTCCTCCCTGCCCTAATCTCAGTTCTGTCTAAACTTCTCTAAAAGAGGAATGACAAACAACAAGATGTTAAAAAGATAAAGATGAACTGCTTAAACCCTGAAGGCATTTTTAGAGTACTATAAAAGGGAGAGTCAAAAGTTAGGTATTGTTTGATCATGATGGAAAAAGTAAAAAAATAAAGTAAAATTAGGCTACATTTGGGCTTATCTCATGATCGATGAGATTTTTTTTTTAATCGGACTAGGGATGGGACGATAACCGGTTTCACGATAAACCGTGATAAAATGTACTGACGGTTAGTATTATCGTTTAAAATTTAATTATCATTAAAACCGTGTTTGATTATCGCGATATTAATAACTCACTGAATCCTGTCGGCCAGTTTGACGCAGGCGCGCAGCACGCAATATTTTTTTAAATTACTATTCGAGAAGGAATGGCGGAAGGCAGTGACCGTGTTCAGGAGGTTTTTCAGCCTTTTAAGAGGACCAAATCTGAGGTGTGGTCATATTTTGGGTTTTACAAAAGTCCTGAGGGAAACTTGATCGAGGATGGTCACCTTGTCTGCCGAACAACAAGTCACTGCAATAGAAACACTTCAAATCTGCCGAGTCGTCTTGTGTGATCATCACCCGAACGCAAGGCAAGTTAACTTTGACCTCAATACCAAAACTACGTCTGGGAAACAATTGGGCACGAAATGTTGTTTTGAGTTGAAACATTTTATGTCACTCACTTGAAATAGACGTCAAGCTTCTGCGAAGAAAAGTTCGTAGCAAGTGGATTTGAGCTAAAGACGAACGAACAACTTCAAACAAGACTATTATTAAGAGTGATATTTTAAGGGATAGTAAAGTATAGATACATCACGTATTAAACCGATTTTATTTTTACCACATAATTATTTTTATAATTAAATCTTACCTGTTTATGAATTAATTTTGTAAAACAATCGTCCAGACAAGATATATCACACCAATATTATCAAACTATGTAAAAAATAAATCAACTCTGATTTCATTTTTGCAATACAATCAAAAACCGGAGACGCAAGACGGCAAGTTGTGTTTGAATGAAACAAGAGCGCGCGTCCGTTGTGCTATAGATGTGCGCTGTGTAATAATGCGTTGCTATTGACGACGGGCATTATAAAGAAGCAAATGCCATAGAATAGAATCTTGCTTAAAAAACTGCAGAGAGAGACTTCTTTTATTTGTTGCTTGTTGATTTTCAATTATAAAATGAAATGTTTTCAGTGTGAGCATCAGTTCTTTTTGAGCACTTTCATAAATTTTTAACAAAAACCGTGATAATATTGATAATCACGATTATTTTGGACACTATAATCGTGATATGAAATTTTCATACCGTCCCATCCCTAAATCGGACTAATTTTAATCGTGAGAATCTGCTTTAAAAAATCGGAGCATGTTTCGTAAAGTTACGAGCGAAAACGTGACACAAATGCTGCATCAAACTCGTGAGACTTCAAATCTCTCCGTTCATGTCATACTTTTTAGACAATTTTATTTTTATTTTTTATACAAAAAGTTTTTTGGGATTTTAGAGGAAAATGTTATTTTGGGGAGGCACACCACAGGGCATTTTTGAACTTGATTTGTCATAAAAAGTATTTGATATTAAAGGGATACTCCACTTTTCGAAAACAATTACTGTTGTTTTCGAACTGTTTAACTCTGGGGGAGTGGTAAAATGAGCCTATTTCCAAAAAAAGTGGAGTATCCCTTTAAGAGACTCTCTGGGGTCAAGGGTCTCTCTATAATATGATTTCCTGTTTTTCCTTCCTATGCATAGTCACACTGCATGACTGATTTGGCACATTTGTTTCTTTAAATACTTGTGTCATTTGAACAAAACTATTTCTCATTTCTTTTCCCTAATAATGATAGTTATGCCAAACTAGCTACCACAAAGTAATTATTGCTTATTTTTCCCCCTACATCATGATATTATAACCATTACTACTTTGCTGAGGTAACAGAAAATGTCAGAAAGCTTTCTTCAGATGGTATAGCTCCATGTAAACTTTTCTAATTCTGAACTAGGATTTTGAATGTTGTTTTGTCATTGATGTTGCCTTCAATAATTCTTAATAAAGTTCATTGTTCAGTCTGTGAGGATTCAGGAAGTCGCGAGCTCCCATAATAACCCGCAGATTTGCATTTGTCCAGATAGCGAGCCTGCAGCAGTTGTGTGTGCCGGCGAGGAACGGCCTCAGCTGTTCAGACAGGCCCCAGTGAAGTGTGAAGTTGTTATTTTTGGCTCCATTCCTTGTGCTCACCTACACTGTGTTTTGATGCTCTTTTAAAGTGGATATATAAGGGGTCTTGGCCCCGAACAGCTGCAATAACCATCCTTTCTGCCGGTCAGTCCTCAGGACTGATGACGGCACCCGGTGCAGATTTCATGCACCTCTGATTGTAATCTGCCACTCAAGACCTCTCCATGCGAGGCTCTTGATTAGAGAGCAGTCATTAGAGCAGAGAACGATACCCTACGCTTGGGCATTTATGGCACTCTACTGGATATCTTGCGTCCTGCTTGGACGGATCACCGTTACATTAACCCTTTTGGAGCATCGCTCTTTGAGCATGTTGGTGCTCTTGCCTCGATGCCAGTATGACAGACTGCAAGATACGATTTCTTTTTTGTTTGGAGGAACCAGTTGGCAGTGATCCAGAGCTGCCTGCCACAGTGTCATTGCCAATCCCTCAGTGGCTTCAATCCAACTGCTCGGATTCAGCACTTTCCCCCTCTCGCTGCTGTAATGTGGCCTTTCTAAGATAATGTATCTCTTTGGAAATAAAATGCACATCTCAGCATTGATATTGATGTGGATTTTAGTCCATTTGCAAGAGTTCCTTGTTCCCGTTTTCTCCCGTCAGGGGCAACAATCCATGAAAGCTCAATTTAAAGAGTTTTTGCAGGCTGAGAGTTCCCTTACTGCACCGGTAGGAACCAAATAAATTGACCGTGTGGTTGCCAGAGCTGTGGAGCATCAAAACTGGGCAAATTCTTTTTTTTTTTTTTTTTTCAACATGATATTTATTGCTTTTAGAAACATTTAGATTAAAACAAGCACAGGAAAATATTATACAAAAAACCCCAAAAACAAACAAACAACACCTATACTATACAAATGTCAAAAGTATTGATTAATATAACATGGTAAATGTTAATCCTGTGTACACCGAAAATAAACTATTTGGTTCAGCTTCCTTTAAAAATTCAATAAAGGGGTTCCATACTTTTGAAAAACTTTCCAGATTTTCCTTTAACAATACATGTAAAATTCTGCTTGAATTATTGATATAATATATCTTGCAGCACGCTGACTTGTAACTGGATTTAGAAACTCCAAATGATGTCTTGATGCATCTTCTGCAAGCTATTGAACAGAAGTGACTCAACCACTGCTGTCTTCTTATATAGTTAGTTAATCTTCTTATAGAAAAGTATGGTTATTTAAAGGGATATGAAAATTGTCAACATTTAATCACCCTGATGTCGTTCCAAACCCGTATGGCCAGCATCTAAGTTAATGTTAGGAACCAAAAACTAATATATCAACCGCTAATCTTCTTCCACAGATGTTTGGACTGATGATGTGTGGATGAGGAAATGATGACCCTTTTCATTTTTGGGTAAAATACCCTTTTAACTCCAGATTAACATGCTTTCTGCCCTACTTTTTAAATATTTTACATGTGTAACGCGGTACACGTATTGTTACCCCAAAAAGTTCAGCATGCATATTACTGAAGAAATGCAGCGTTGTTTTAACCATTGAATATGCAGCACAAAATTTGAAACTGAGTTTCCCACCTACAGTAGGATGGGACAGTATCAATATACTTTGTTGCTAACGTGTCAGATGCGTGTGCTATTTAATGCATTTGAAACATGTTTTCTTCAGTGCTTAACTTACATTTTATGGTTGTATTCTTAGCTGTAAATGTAATAGAAAGCTACAGAGTATTTCCATTTTGCATGAAGATCCTCAGTCTTGAATGGGGCGTCTCTGCATTAGGGATGACATCTTTTGGTACCTCAGGATTCGATTATAAATCGATTCTCAATTTTGAATCAAATTTAGATCTAATATATGCATAGATTTGATTGTAGTTTTGTTACTTTTGACTGTGATAGACAAGTTTAGAAGGAAAAATTTTTGAAATGTATCTTTATCTTTATTCAACCCAGTATTATAAAACAAATGGCAATTAAATCTGACTTGTATATTAAATGAATGGCACGCAATAGAAGCAGAGTGCAATAATTCTGACTAAAATATGTATTTTTTTTTTAAACTATCCAAAAGTAGAAAAAAAACTTTGTTTTTTGTGAGTGTGTTGTTTAAAAACAGCCATAGTTTGTTCAGTAAACCACTGCTTAATTAAAAAAAATAGGGGAAAAAGCCATTTTATTCCCTGATCCATTACTACAAAACCAAGGTACAGACTGAACCGTAATTTTTTTGTGCACCGTTACATCCCATTTAATACATTTTAAATCCGTCCAGCTACTTTAATTAAATGAATCTTAGAAAGACTTGTTTTTTCCACAGAAAACCTGGGTGGTATACTGTCTGAAGCCCACCAGCGTTTCCCTTATATTCTCCCCTGCTTGCTCCTGTTATTGCTTTGTTAATCGATGTGCTCTGATTCGTTTCACAGGAATGCCTGCAGCGTCTCAGAAGACTCACCTGCAGATCCCGAGCTCAGGCGAGCAGAGCCACTTTTGATGAGATTCTGGGAGGACCACACTGTCAAACAGAGGTAGGAACGGAGCCGGTCAGGGTTTATTGCTTTACCAGTTGGAACGTTGTTGTGTGGCATTGCTGTTTCTTGTAGTGTGCTTGCACCAGGTGCATGTCTGTCAAAGGACAGAACACTGAGTAAACAGAATTTAAAAACTCCTTAAATGGTCACATTGTTGCCGTAGTCACATATAGTCATGGCATTTGCTTCTGACATGATGGTGTGTGTTAATATTCTTTCCTAAATATTCTGAAACTGCCTAATAGAGTCCTGCAGGGATGAAAGCCAAAACCTGGAAACTAGCATTTTAGCACTTGTGGCTCCGTCTTTACTGTAGACATTGTGCTCTTGCAAACTAAACTAATTTAAATTTTCATGCAAAATGTCACAGGTTATTTTATGCAATAATCCAAATGCCAATGACAAAAAAACCCTATTGGGATTTTGACATGTGAACAATGGTGATGCTAACTTCCAGGTTGACCTACAAAAATGCATCTCTGCAGCACTCCATTGACAACTTTGGCTGTCATTACTTACTCAACCTCATGTTGTTTCAAACATGGCTTTCTTTCTTCTGCAGAACAAAAAAGTAGATATTTTCAACTGTTTTGGCCATACAATAAAAGTCAATGTGGTCTAAAACAACATCAACATCTGATTTGAGTTGGTCCTCCTTATACTGTAAAAAGACTTCGTATTAGCGCCTGGTCATCCTTAGTTTGCAGGTCTGATTTCTTGGCCCCTCTCTGTTGTTCTATTATTATACACTATTAAAAGTGGCAAAAGCCCAAAAAATCCTCATTCTGTCTCCAGTTTGTTAACACCTCCTGAGCTGGCCTTTAGAGTCTGTAGAGCCCACTGTCAAATCTTCATTGTTTGAATTGGGATTCGTCACCATGTATAAAGCGTTTCCCTTCTGGTTTCTGAGACAGAAAGGCACAGGTACCATAGTGTTTCTGATCCGCCAAATATCTAGAGCTTGACTGTATCTCTCACACGGTTCGCATTGCTGCCCGTGGGAATGCATGAAAAATGAATCCTTGGATTCCTTAACAAATTGAAATTCTGCCAGTCTGTTGTTTCGCTGTGAGCTGTATTTGATCATTTAAAATGCCTCAAATAGGCACTACCAAAAATTGTCAGATGTTTATTATGTTGTAATTCGCATTCATGTCACATACAGCCGAGGACAGCCCTGATAATGGTGTGATGCTCACAGGCATCATTGATCTTTACATCAACCCCTCTTTTTGTTTTTCACCTTATGGAAGTGAAGGTGAAAATATGAATTATAAACTTTCATAAATAATTGAGAGCCATCGGCAGAAGTAAATTATTAATAGGTGAAAAAGGCGTCTCTCTTGATGCGTAGAGATGGGCTAACATGAGCACAGACATGTTATTTCCTTTCTATTAGGAAAAGTGTGATTCTGCTAGATAGACCAACTGGAGTGTTTGTGATTTTTTTTTTTTTTTGTGCTCTGTCATCTTTTTTAATTGTTTAAAATTATGATCTGAAATCTGATGTTCCATCTCCAAAAGAAAATCTGTGCTAAATGCATTAAATAGCATTACGCCTACGTACAGAGATGTAGGTTTCATTCACTTCCAATTCCATTCAGATGTTTTAAAAGAGCTTTCCTGGACACGCCCCTTTCTTACATTGGGGGAACAGCCAGATAGTCCCACCCCCAAAGTAACGCCATTGGTTCAGCCAATGTTGAGTCAGAGTGTGTACACTTTTTAGTCAGATTCCCCTGAAAATGTCTTACTACTCATTGAACTGAATGTGTTGAAACGCTGCTGTCAATCAACAATTGTGGGGGGGGCATCCGATTGAGTGACGTCACAAAATCGAACGGCTCAATTTGAGATTACAAAATATGACCACACCTCAGATTTGGTCGTCTTAGAAGGTTGAAAAATCTCCAGAGGACAGTCACTTCCTTCTGAAAAAAACATTGCTTCACTGTTTCTGGCTGGACAGCATTTCAATGAGTTATTAAAATCGAGATAAACAAACACAGTTTTTAATGATATTTGCATTTTAAACAATAATTCTAACCATCTGTAAATTTAAAAATCTTACCTAGCCTAAGAAGATAGTTGAATATGAATATTGAACAGGTAAATTAAACGGGCATCATGCTTAGAACTAGCCTGGTTCAACCAGACTCTAGTTCATTTCATTTCCACATAGAGTCTGGAACCGCTCCATTGAAAAAACGTTTCCTTCCTTGTAGGCGGGTTCACTATTAAAGTTCAAATCTATTGGATCTGCCCAAAGTCACTCACGATCTGATTCTGCCATAGCCAATCGCTAACGGGGTGTCGTGAGTGACGTATGTCACGCGCCGAAGAGGATTATGTTTACAATAGGATTTCAGTCAACGAGCGCCGCAGGTTTTGTTAATCTAGGAACAAATATTAATTCGAAATGTATATTTGACACGAAGGACAGTGATATATACATCCAACGGTGGAAGCTGTGTCTAATCATTACAAATACGCCGCTGTGGTCGTTTTCTGATCTGCCGCAAATGCTGTAACGTTAGCTGCTACAGTGAATGATCAGTGTGTCTCTACCTGCAGATGTGTAATAAACAACAATTTTTCATATTACGTCTTATTGTTTCTTAATTACCTTAATTATGGTCTTCAAAGTATGTGTTTGTACATTTTTATATGGCATTTAGTTTTTTTAGTAAAACAAATCAACCATTGCCATCTAAAACTGAAAATCAAATATCTTCAAAGTATGGTTTTTCACATTTTTATTTATGACAATTATTTTTTTTTAAATCACAACCAATTTGTATGATTTACAACATGTAAAACTGACACACCAACCTCCTGCACGAGTGCACAAAGGGCCTCAAAATGTTCTATTCATCACAAGATTCAGTAAATTTACAGTTGGGAATATGAGCGACTGACATGACTCCTGAGCGGATCTTCAACAATAGTTTAGCAGCCAGGACTCGGGGCTTCCGAACACCGCGAACACCAGGCTAAAGTCCAAAATGTCACGGTCATCGTGCACGAGCTGCCCGGCACAAACTTCCAAACTTTCTGCCTCCTTCACTTGGTCCTCAGTTGTGCAACAAGAGGTGAGACGATAGCAATCCGGCTTTAAATTCTGTATATTCGGCAGTTTCTTTTCCAACAACGGACCGAATAGCTTTTCTCACGTCTTTCTCCGCTGCCATTACTGAACTGAAACTGACGCGCTTACATCAACGTCATCGTTCTCAGCCACTCCCTCTATTCGCTGATTGGTCCTACAAAAAATTGATTTCTGGAAACCTAAGGATATGGAGCGATCCCAGACGCAGTACTGAAGTAAAATGAAATTGAGCGGAAGTGCGTAGGAGGGCGCAGCCAGGCTAGCTTAGAACCACATTTGAAAGTGAAATCGAATCAGAATTGCTGTTTACACGCATGCATCAAGATCTTAGGCTGCGTTTTCAAAAATCAAAAAGCCTTAGTAGACCATTGACACGTTTGGCACCAAAGGTCTCTGATCTACTTAAGGGCCTGCAATGCCTTTGGGAAATGAAGCCTTAGTGTGTGCCAGTTACCAAGTAGTGGCTTGACTTTGACTTGATGTGAAATGACTCTGGAATATACGTGAATGACTTGGCATGCTCTGGAGATTTTCTTCGTAAAACATAATTTTACCTTATGAAAACTTATTTATGAATCAATTCAGGTCTTTTTTTGACCTGTGACTAAAGTCTTCATCCAGCTGGAGCTCATTTAGACTTGCTTGTTGTAAAACACTGACTTCATTTGCGTCTGGATTATGTGCTTTGTCAAACTCTTGTGCTTGTTGTCCTTGTTTTGCAAGTAAAAAACACAATCATGAAAAAATGTGATTTGCATTTTTTAATTTAGCGTGCGCTTTTATCCAAAGCGACATACAAGTGATTCAGCTGGAAGTAAGAAATAGTGAAAGTATTGAGATGGTTAGGTTTTATAGAATTAGTGTATAGTTTAATTGCATTGAAATATACACACTACCATTCAAAAATTTGGGGTCAGTACGATTTTTTTTTTTGAAATTTATGTTTTAAAAGAAAGAAATAGTTTTATTCAGCAAGAATGCATTAATAAAATCTAAAGTAAAGACATTTATAATGTTACGAAACAAATTATGTTCTTTTGAGCATTCTATACGTTAAAGAATCCTAAGAAACTGCATGTTGGTTTCCACAAAAATATTTAAATTTTTATATAAAATATAAAATATTTAATATTTTTCTTCTTCCATGACATTACAATACCACAGTAAGAAATATGATGGTAAAAAATGGTGTTTAAAAATCCATTTGGGGAAAATAACCAGTCAATGCAATCGTAGAGAGGGATTTTGGATGACTGGACGGAGCAAAGGAAAAGATAATCAAAAAGCCATTAAATACAGCTACACCAGACACATACTGGTTAAGAACATCCTAAACAAATCGAGTAGATCTAACAAAAATTACAAGTTCAAGATGCACTTGTCTTCATGACATTCCACTCCTAAATTAAAAAAATAAATAGTTTTGTGCTAGCCAGTACTCTAAAGACAAAAAATGCCCATTCCTAGTTTCAACAACAGCATTTTCAGTAGATAAGTGTCTAAAACAAGCACAAGGAGATCTTTTACTCATTCTCTTTTGCACTCATGTGAATACGGTTAATTATGCACCAAACATAGACCGTGGCAATCCCAAGTGCTCTAGACTTGTGTTGGTCTTTTGTGCGAGTCTTCTTAAATGTAAATGCAAACCTACAACTGTTGCGGAGGGCTCCTGGATCATGTTAATGCATACTAATGAAACTGTGGTGCTTAAACAGTACTGGATTACTCTTGTTTTCTCTCTCTCACCGCTACACTTTCTCTCCTGCTTTATCATTCTGTTTTGTGATTGTATCAGCACAGCAGTGGTCAAGGTGAAATTTGTGTCTTTTCCAATTTTCGAAATGATTCTCTGTGGATGTAACACTGTCTGGGCTCAGTATATGGC